TGTCGTGTGTGTGTGTGTGTGTGTGTGTGTGTGTGTGTGTGTGTGTGTGTGTGTGTGTGTGTGTGTGTGTGTGTGTGGAGGGCGATGGGCGGAGAGCAAGACATCGTGAGCTCAGCGTACGTTATGCAAACACACCACCGCCCCCACCCCCACCCCCACATACCCACCACACCCACACCCACATACCCACACATGCATAGCCACATATGCATACACGCACACACCTGAGCTGCTCGCGAGCGGCATCTGTGGTTGCAGCATGAGCCAAGCGACCCTGTGCAAAGTTGATGACAGCCGTGGCCTTCATCGGCTCACGGCACAGCCACCCTGCAGGCATGCTTCGTCTCTCTCTGTCTTGTCTGTGTCCGTGTGCTTCGTCTGTGATGGGTTGTGTGATGGGGATGGGGGTGTGCTCGCCTCGCCTTCTCTCGCCTCAGTTGCTTTGCTCTGTTTGAAATCCGCTCTCGTCAAATCAACAACAGCCTGTGTGTGTGTGAGTCATCATCGCAACCCTCGACGAACTCCGCCCTGAAATCAGGGGCATTCCCTTTTTGTGGTGTCGCTAGCGGTAGGTGGCGGAGAATCGTTTTGCTCGTTTTTGTTTTGGTATGGGCCTCTTTTGTTTAAATCTTCAACCAATCTTCAGCCCGTCTTGAGAAAAACCTGACGTCAACCACAAGCAGTAAGCAGCAAAGCAAGCAAGCAAGCAGGTGCTTTCCTCTCTTTTTCGTGTGAAGTTTTCTCTCAGCCCAGCCTGCCTGCCAACATCCGATCACGACAACGTATGTGCGCAGCACCGCTGCTAGCTTCCTTGCTCCACTCTGCCTTGCCTTGCCTTGCCTTGCCTTGCTTGCTCTGCGTCATCCCTCCAACCACTCAGTCAGCCAGCCAGCCAGCCAGCCAGCTGGCCGCGCTCGTTCCGTTCGCCCATCCATTCCACCACCAACACTTTTCCTTGCCCGTGCGTGCCTTGCTTTCCCTTCCGTTGCTTTCCCTTCCGTTGCTTTCTTCTGGTTGGTTGCCTTGTGGTTGCTCACACCAGCAATTCCCGCATGGTGATTGCTTGGTAGCTGGCCCCACAAGTTGATGCGCGCTGTACATCGTGTGACGTGACGACGTGCGAAGAAGCCCAAGCGCACACACGCTCGTGTGCAACCAACCGCCACTCCCCTGCTAGCTGATCGGGATTGCTGCTGCTGGAGAAAGGAACAAGCCATTGTCAAGACACACACATACATCGTTGGCTGGCCGGTCGATTGTTTGGTTTTGGGAGTTTGTCACCTTCTTCCTCCCGGCAAATCGCGCGCGATATTCCTGTGCGTGCACATCGACACGCGTACAAGCAGCACACCCTGACCGTGTGACGCGACAAAGGTACGAACCGCCTCTTTCTCATCCGTACAGTTGGCGTGTTGGAGTATCTGGTGCGTTGGTGCCTTGATTGCTTGCACACCCTTCGCTGAGCAACGCTTTTGGTGGTTTGCGTGCGTGCATGCGTGCATATGTGGTATGTGTGTGTGTGCGTGTGTGCGTGCGCGCGTTCGTGTGTGTGCGCGCGCGTGTGTGTGTGTGTGTTTGCATGTTTACATGAGAAGGCCGTTGCTGCCATCTCCGTGTTCGTTGGTGCTTCATTTCCCACCGCGTTCTTGTCGTTCACGCACACCAACTTCTTCTGCGCGTTCGCAGTGGTGTGTGTGTGTGTGTGTGTTCGTGTGTGTATGGTAGCCTTCCTTGTTTGTATCTGCGGGCGCGCAGCGCATGTGTTGATGATGATCATGGCACGAACATCTGTTTCCATGTTCGCAAACACACACGCACACACATGCACGCACCGTTCTTCCTCGTGCACCTTCCTGCTCTGTCTGACCTCGTGGTCGTTCCCAGCAAGCACAAACTTCAACCTTCACCCACCTTGGTCGTTTGCTTTCCACACACGCGGTGCTCACGCCTGCATTTTCCCTGTTCTCCGCTGGCCTCTGCATCTTCGCCACACAACCGTCGTCGCTGCTTCCGCCGTTGTGACTTTCCTCTTCATCATCGCCGCTGCCGTCGCCCTCCCCCTTCCAGACGTTTGCGTTTCCGGCTCTCGTCCGCTACCCCTCACCCCTACCCCTCCCTCAACACACACATATCACATATCACACAATGGTAAGCGCTGCTGGTCGATTCCCATCCCCCCTCCCCAGGAGCGGATGATCAGTTCATGAACTGTTCCCCCGTTCGCCCTGACAACACCACCTATCCCTTTTCCATGTGCCATCACCACCACCACCCCTGTTTTTCGCTTCCACTAACTCCTGACACCCCCATGCTCTCGTGTCACTGCGGCTCTGCTGTGCTGCATGTGCTGCATGTGCAGTCGTCACACAAGACCAAGTCTGGGCCGTCGCTGGACCTGTATGTGGCCGGGCGGTACCAGCTCAAGCGCAAGATTGGCCACGGCTCCTTTGGCGACATCTACCACGGTGTCAGCGCCGCCAGCGGCAAGGTATGCACGCGTGTGTGTGTGTGTGTTTGAGCGTGAAAATTATTCTGTGTGTGTGTGTGCATTTGTTTGTGACATTCTCGTGTGTGTGTGTGTGTGCACGCTCGTGAAATGATTTCACACCTCTAACCCACTTCCCATGCAACCACCGCGGCTGCTCGCTGCACTGCAGAATGTTGCTGTGAAGGTTGAGTCGCTCAAGACGCGGTACCCGCAGCTGTACTACGAGGCGAAACTGTACAAGATTCTCGCAGGCGGCGTCGGCATCCCGCTCATGAAGTGCGTAGCCACTGGCTCATTGCTCATGCGGTCGTGGTGGTGGTCATGCGTGCGTGTTTGTGCGTGGTCATGCGCGTGTGTTTGTGCGTGTGTGTGTGGTTGTCGATGAACATTTGGTGGTATGTTGGCGTGTGTTGTGTGGCCTTCATGGACGCTGGCTGACCTTGAATGTCTTGGCATGTCTGCGTGCGTGCGTGCGTGATTGATTGATTGGTGGTAGGTGGCACGGACAAGAAGGCGACTTTTACGTGATGGTGATGGAATTGCTGGGCCCAAGGTACGTCCATGCGCACCGAGTGTGCTCCACTTGCTGACACGCCAATGTCATGTGTGAGCTGCACGTGTGTCAACATGTATATGACTGGATTGTGATGGTGATGTGTTTGCGCGTGCATGTCTCGTCGTTCCCCTTCGTTCGTTTGTTCGTTCGTGCCTTGCTATCTCCTCATCATGATGCCCTCCTGTTGTGTATCTTCAGCCTTGAGGACTGCTTTTCCTTCTGCGACCGCAAGTTTTCGCTGCGAACTGTTCTTCTCCTCGCCGATCAGGTGAGCTGCTCCTGCCACCATGCTGCCCTGGGCATGTTCGCAGCTGCCATTGAAGTTCCAACACGCACAGTTGTACAAACACACACACACACACACACTTGCACACACACACACTTGCGTACACATTTGCACACAGTTGAACGCACACGCGCACACGCACATTTATTTACACGTGCCTGCTTATGCACGCAACTTCTCACACGTGCTTCCTTCTTCTCCTGCCCACTCAACACCACGTGCTCAGATGCTTGACCGGTTGGCGTTTTTGCACTCGAAGCACTTTATCCACCGCGACATCAAACCAGACAACTTTCTGCTGGGCTCCGGGTCAAAGGGCAACATGGTGAGTGCCAACACGCACACACACATGCAGGACACACACACACACACACACACACACACACACACACACACACACACACACACACACACACACTGAGGGCACACACTGATGACACACACTGAGGACACACCTGCACTGCTTGACTTGCGCCCACAGCAACCTCACTTCTTGACTCACTTATTTCTTCCCTCCGTCCCTCACATTCGCACTCGCGCACGCAGGTGTACATCATTGACTTTGGGCTTGCCAAGCGGTTCCGGGACCCGAAGACGTTTGAACACATCCGCATGCGCACGGACAAGCACCTGACGGGCACGGCGCGGTACGCGAGCATCAACGCCCACGCCGGCATTGAGCAGTCGCGACGTGACGACATTGAGTCGCTCGGATACGTCCTCATGTACTTTCTCCGCGGGTACGTGCCGAAGACTGCAGAGTGGTGATTGGTGACTGGTGGCTGTGATCCTTGGTAGTGGTGTGTTGTGGGACGGTTGTGGTGGTGTGATGGCCTTGGTAGTGGTGTTTGTGATGGTTGCTTGTGGGCGCTGTACGCTTCCCTGTCAATCAGCGTGTTTCCATGCATCCCTGCAATAAGTGTTAAGGGCATTCCAACCCCCCCCCCCCCTTTTTTTCTCATATCTGCCTCCCGTTTGTTTTGCTGCCATTCGTTTGCAGGTCGCTGCCGTGGCAAGGGCTGAAGGCTGCGAACAAGAAGCAGAAGTACGAGAAGATTATGGAGAAGAAGAAGACGACGCCGCTTGAGGAGCTGTGTGCGCGCCATCCGCCGGAGCTCCGCGTCTTCCTCGAGTACGCGCGACAGCTTGAGTTTGACGAGGGCCCAGACTACAACTACCTCAAGAAGCTCCTCATGTCAGTCGTCAAAAGCCCCCCGCACGCACGCGTGGTTTTTGATTTGCTTTGTTTGTTTGTTTGTTTGTTTGTTTTGTTTGTTTGTGTGCGTGTGCGTGTGCGTGTGCGTGTGCGTGTGCGTGCGTCTTGAACTTGCCACACGTGCGCTCCCCCCCTCCTCTCAACCCGCTGCCCCGTGCCTCACCGTCAACACCGCCATCATCATCCTCTTGCTGTTTTCTGTGTGTGTGTAGCGGCGTGTACAACCGGGAGAAGTTTGAGAAGACCATCTGCTTCGACTGGACCAAGCGGGCACGCAGCATGAAGCAAAGGTGTGATCCTACCCCCACATGCGCTTGCGAAGACAGACGTGCGCGTTTCTCTGTCGCCGTCTGTTTTCTCTCTCTCTCTCTCTCTCTCCACACACACGCGCACACTCCCTGTCTCTCCGGTCCCTCCTTCCCTCTCGCTCTGTCTCCCCCTCTCTTTGCACTGTTCTTACTCTATCTGTCTGTCTCGTTTTCAAAGCAAACGCGTTACCCTTCGTGACTCTGCACAGCTTTTGCTTTCTCACACGAGCCAACTTGCATGCGTACAACCCCTTCCTCTCAATCTACAGCAAATCGAAGAAGAAGGACAAGGAAAGCCACTAAGGAGTTGCTTGTGCAGCGTTCGTCACCGAACGGTGTGCAATGCGTGCACGCGTGCGTGCGGGTTTTCACGCATTGCGTTTGCGCATGCACGTTCGCATGTGGGCGCATTCATTCCCCTTGCCTCCTTCCATCCCTATTCCGTTGCTGTAGCTGCTGTTGCTTCTTCAATCCCCTCCAACCCTTTTTTGATCTTCTGCAATCGTCGTTGGCTTTCCTCCTCTTCCTCTTCCTCTTCCTCCTTCATCTCCACCATCATCGTCTTGGTCGTTGCATACGCTTGTTCTTGGCTGCTGAGCTCCTCATCTGTCTTCTCTGCTTTGCGGGTTCCTTTTCTCATGTGACCGATGTAATTCGATGTGCATAACAGTTGTGTGTGTGTGTGTGTGTTGTGTCAAGTGATGTCCCGTTGGCCCCCTCGCTTATCCTGCTTCTCCGTGCCGTGCGCTGCGTGGCTGTGCGCCTCAGCGTTGCATGTGCATATACATGAGAACGTTTGTTTGTTTGTTTGTTGTGTGTCGTGATGGCTTGTGTTCATGTTTGTTTGGCTCTACCTCCCCCCCTTTGCTTGTCTTGTCTCTTGCCTCCTTTCTCTCGTCCTTTGCCCTTCCTCTCTCCCCCTCTCCTTGTACCTTTTGCTGTCGCCTTGTCTGTGTGCCCTGTATCTTGATGCCTGCCTGCCTGCCTCTGTCTGTGTCCGTCCGTGTTTTGTTTGTGTGCTGCCTTTGCTCGTTGCCGCGTGTTTCCCTCCTGCTATTTAATATCGGCTGGTGCACAACACAATCAACGAACAAACAACAAAACCCAGTCAAGCTACTCGGCACGTGTGTGTGTGTGTGTGTGTGTGTGTGTGTGTGTGTGTGTGTGTGTGTGTGTGTGTGCGAGTGTGTGTGCGAGTGTGTGTGCGAGTGTGTGTGCGAGTGTGTGTGTGTGTGTGCAGGCGGCACACCACCACCTCAATTTGTGGTGTCGTTGGCTGTTCCGCCACGTCTGCAGAAAAAAAAATGTGTGGGAAGGAAATTTTTTTTTTTTTCGCGACAGTGGACCGAGCGGATATCAACAACACGACCAACGAAGCAACAACAGCAACAACTCGCACAGCACACCAACAGCAGTCATGGCGAAGAACGGCAACGGCAAGCGCAAGGGGTCGGACATCGATCTCGACAAGATCATTGCGGCAAAGAAGCAGCAGCAGACCCCTCTGTCCTTCTATGTCACCGCTGGGCTCCTCAACGCAATTGTCCCCGTTTGTAAGTGCACTTTGTTTGGTTGCTTGTGACTCGCCGTGCTGGGCTTGTGGTGGGAGGGTGGGGGCGGCCAATGTTTGGTGTCGTGTTTGGGATACAACTGAAGCGAGAGCCGTGGGCATGAGAGAAGTGGTCGAGGAGGAGGAGGAGGAGGAGGCAGCAATGTTGGAAAGCAAAGTGGAGAGGCGAAGAACGTGCAGTGCTGTATCAACACATTTGTGTTGCTGGTCACTCACCTCTCATATCTTCTTCACGTGCCGTGTGTTTGTTTGCAGTTCTGTTTGCCACGGTGTTGATGCTTGATGTCATCTCCAACGCCATCGTTGTCGTCATCGGCATTGCCGTGACGGTTGCCAGCCTCCAGTACGCATACCAGAACGTTTCTCGGAAGCTCATGGACAAGTGCGTCTTGATTGTTTGCATGTGTGTGTGTGCTTGTGTGCGTTTGCGTTTGTGGCAAGGTCTTGTGTGCTTGTGTGTGCTTGTGTGTGTGTGTGTGTGTGTGTGTGTGTGTGTGTGTGTGTGTGACATTGCCCGTGTGCGTTTCGTTGAAGTGTCTTCGACCGCCTTGTGCTCATATCTTGAGTATGATCAACCCCCCTCGTTGTAGGATCGCGCTGAAGCGCCGCGAAGCTGCACACAAGCTTGTGCTTCAGGAGCGCAAGCAGGGCAAGGGCCAGGGCCTTGATGTCGATTCCATGTGAGTGGGTGCTCTCTTGCGCTGTCCTGCGGTCAACCAAAAGCGCACATGCACGCACACAACGACGGAGACAGACAGACACACATACATACAGACACAGACACGTTACCACAACGGCGCTCTTTTGATGTCATCTCATCCTTGACCTGCCCAACTCTGCGTGTGCACTTCCCATCAGGCGCGTGCAGAAGGAGGGCCACATTGCACGGTACGAGGCGCGCTACCTCGCCCTCGCTTTCATCAACGCAGGTGTGTGTGTGTGTGTGTGTGTGTGTGTGTGTGTGCACAACATTGTGGCATGGTGCTTACTGCATTCATGTTTGTGCAATGCGCAGTTGTTTCATCCCGCGTGTTTGGCCCTCTCTGTACTCACACCCTACCTGCCGTGTTTGTGTTGGCTCATTCTGCACATTCAACGCAAACAACTCATGTTACTCACACGTACAACACGCACACGCACACACACACACACTCACACACACACACACTCACACACACACACACACACACACACACACACACACACACACACACACACACACAGAGGTACAGGCACAGACACAGACACATATTCACAGACACAGACATGCTCTCTGCGTACCATCGGCGACAGTCTCTCCGGCGGCGGTGGCGTGTGCAAGATCGACATCTGTGCGGAGGAGGAGGTGCGCAGTGGCCTCTTTGCAATCGGGCTGACACATTGGACGAGGGACGTCATGAGGCGTACAGGTGTTGGTGAATGGGCGATGCAAGGGGAGGGTGTGGCTTGTGTGGTGTCGGTGTGGGCAGTGTGTGGTGTCGGCGTGTGGTGTCGGTGTGTGGTGTCGGCGTGTGGTGTCGGCGTGTGGTGTCGGTGTGTGGGTGATGTGTGGGTGATGCGAAACTGCTCCGCGAAATGCGCCCCATGCACGGAAGCGGGGAAGGCCCACAGAGATACGGATGTGCATGCAACAACTGAACACGCACGCACACACACACACACACACACACACACACACACACACACACACATCTACACACATTCACAGAGAGAGCACGCACCCTGGAAGCGGCTAGGAGCAGGGGTGTAAGACCTCCATTTGTTGTGGCATTGACATCTGCGCCCGCCCGCAGCAGCAGCTCCATGGCCTCAAGCTGGTTCCATCGCGTTGCGCAGTGCAGCGGCTGCCACCCCTCGTTTGTCTTGATGTCCACCTTGGCTCCTCTGTTGAGTAGAGCACGGCGTGTATTGCAGTGTCAGGACATGGTTGGTTGGTCATGTCAAGGCCGGTGGGTGTGACAAGACGGCAAGCGAACACAAGGATAAGCACCGATGGTTATGCACGCAGGTACACACAGAGAGACGGACGGAGAGACGGACACACACACACACACACACACACACACACACACACACACACACACACACACACAGACACACACACAGACACACACACACACACGCACCGTGAGAGGAGCAGCTTGATGGTTCTGACGCGGCCGTTGTAGGATGCGCGGTGCAAGGGCGTGTATCCGTCCTCATCCTGATGTGCCAACAAGCGCTGCACCTCCACTTCGTCACCAACACCGTCCAACAGATCCCCCAAGTGACGATACTCGCCGCGCTGCGCCATCTTCAGCACCCGCTCTTCCGCCGACATGTCCTCCATCCTGCTTGATGCTGCGTTGTGTGTCTGTGCGTGGTCTGCGTGTCTCTGTGTGTGTCGACAACAACAACAACAACAACCTTGTCCCTCGCCCCTCGTCCCGCACCAGCACCACTCCAGCGTCCACCACTGCTACCACGACGAAGCAACCAAGCAACCAAGCAAGAAGCAACACCACCAAGCCACTCAGTGAGAGCAGTCCTGCCTCTGCGTCTGCCCTCTCCTTCTGCTCGCTGTTTGCGCTTCCGCTTCGCAACGAATTTCCCGTTGTCCAGCCAGCCAATACGCACCACCCCCCAGCAGCACACCACAGCAGAACCAAACAAAAGAAGGGCTTAGTCGCAGGCGCAATCGCAGGCGGGTGTGAGGGTCGCGAACAGCTCACGCTGACGTCTGCCGTTGCGACTGTTGGAGGGCAGGCGCACTGAGGCAGGTAGTAACGAGCACGAACATAACATCAGCGAGCAGCAGCCTCCTTGCTTGCTCCGCAGCCTTAGGTTTGATTGGCCGTGTGCAGCGCACAAACGTTCGTTGGTTGCATTGTACACACACACACACACACACACACACACACACACACACACACACACACACACACACACACACACACACACACACACACACACACACACACACACACACACACACACGTCGGCTCGTGACTGCCAGCCATGTCATCAGGTGACGATGACTCCGTATCCATGGAGTCGTCCTCGTCCGAAGGCACCACCACCGCCAGCACGACAACAAGCGCGACGACAACAGCCACAGCCACGGGTGCACACGACAGCGACGGCACAACGTCTCTTGATCCCGCACGAGACCACCGGCTGTCGGTATCGTCCATACGCTTCTCAGACAATGACGACGACAGCGACGGTGCTGATGACGATGACGATGATGGCCGCGATGCGGGTGATGATGGTGATCACGCTCATGGCGAGGAACATGGCGAAGAAGGTAAAGGCGAAGAAGACACACCTCGTGCGAGTGCAGGGGATGCACAGCACCCGCTTTCAACGACGCTTGCCAGCTGGCTGGAGGAGAAGGATCCCAAAGATCGCCAGCATCTACTTGACTGCAACGGTGTTGATGTCAAGCAGAACCCAGATACCGTGCAGGAGATGGAGTGCTTCTTCACAACTTTTCTCGCTGTGCGAGACGTCACATCTGTGTTCACCCAGCTGACCACTCTCAAGATCCTCATCGCGGTGTGTTGTGTGTGTTGTGTGCATGTTTGTGTGTGTGCATGTTTGTGTGTGTGTGTGTGTGTGCATGTGTGTGTGTGCATGTGTGTGGTTTGTGTGTGTGCTTGTTGTGTGGTGGTGTGTGTGTTGTGTGTGTGTGTGTGTTGTGTGTGCGCGAGAGAGATAGGTGTGTGTGATGGGGCGGGTGGGAGTGGTGACAGTGGTGACATCGCAGCTCACACACATACGTGCTTCTCCCTGCTTCTTCAGCCGCAACTGACCCATATTCGCGGCATTGAGGCATGCCCGAACCTGACCGAACTCTGGATCTGCGAGGGCAACGTTGAAGACATCTCGCCACTCGGTAGGCGAGCGGTGTTGATGCTCATGCTCTGCGCATGTGTGCGCGCATGCGTATGTGTGTGTGTGAGGGAGAGAGAGAGAGTGTGTGTGTGTGTGTGTGCGTGTGCGTGTGCGTGTGCGTGTGTGTGTGTGTGTGCGTGTGCGTGTGCGTGTGTGTGTGTGTGTGTGTGTGTGTGTGTGTGTGTGTGTGTGCGTGTCGCTCGCGGGACACGCATCACTTGACCACCATGCCCACCAAACAAAACATCACAACGTACTGCTCACGTCTTTACACACACACACACATACATACACACACACACATCATGCCACTAGCTACACTGACGAAACTTGAGAAGTTGTACATGTATTCAAACGTCATCGCGTCCCTTGTCCCGCTTGGCGGTTGCCAGGTACTGTCAAGTCACACACACACACACACATACACACACACACTCTCTCTCTCTCTCGCTCGCTCTCTCTCTCTCTCTCGCTCTCGCTCTCACTCTCACTCTCTCACACATACACACCCTCACACACACTCACATGCACATGCACGCAAACATCCGTCTCACTTCTTGTATTGCTGTGGTGTGCACAGGAACTTGCACATATTGACGTGGAGCACAACCACATATCAGACATTTCCGTGCTCGCCCAACTGCCAAAGTGAGAGCGCATTGCTGGTGGCGGCGGTGTGTAGTGTGTGTGTGTGTGTGCGTGCGTGTGCGTATCAGCAGCAGACTGCATCCTCGTCTCGTGCGCTCATGCGTCTGAATCTTCATCGCTGCAACCCTGATCTTTCGCTATCATACCGTCTCTTCTTCACTGCTGTGCCACACGTGCAGGCTGTCGTTCATCAACGCTGCGCACAATGCGTTGACGCAGCTCCCCTCTTCGTTTGCCACCACCACCGCCCTTCACTCCCTCAACATTGCTGGCAACAACATTGCCGACTTCTCCGTGAGTCCCATCCCATATTCCAGCGTGGGTGTGGATGTGGATGTGGATGTGTGTCTGTGTGTGGATGTGTGTGTGTGTGTGTGTGTTTGTGTGTGGATGTTTGTGTGTGAATTTTTGTGTGTGTGTGCTTGTGTGTATATGTATTTGTGTGCGCGTGTGTATGTGTGTGTGTGTGTGTGGATGCGTGTGGGTTTGTGTATGTACGGCCATCTGTGTACTCGAATATGTGGATGGATGGTCCTATTGCACATTGTTTTACATCTGACCGCGGCTCCATCACGCCGGCCTGCACCGCCGCAATCACCATCAGGCGCTGTTGGCGCTGCGAGCTGTCAAGTCCTTGAGGCGCCTCTGGCTGCAGGGCGAAGACTACAACCAGGTCTGCACACACACACACACACACACACACACACACACACACACACACACACATCAAGTCGTAATCATGTGTCGCATTGTTCAGTTGTCGCAGCAGCAATGCCTGTTGGCGCATTCCTCACGTATTTATCACGACCGCCACCTCCTATTGTGTCGACGACGACTATGACGACGGCGCCAGAACCCCGTGTGCCGTCTTTCAAACTACCACGCGTGGATTGCGTTTCTTCTACCGTCGCTCGAGCTGCTGGACGACTTCAAACCGCCGCCGCCAAAAGCACGAGAGTACGTGGCATAGCGCAGGCAGCACGGTCATTTGTCGAAGAGATACCTGCAACGTGTATGCACATGATGTGTGTATGTGTGTGTGTATGATTCCATAGATGCCCTTACTTTGCTTCATTCTTCATATCTAACACTCCCCCCTCTCCCTGCTCACTGCCACCCGTGCTGCTGATACCATATCATCTTCAGTTCTCTCAGTCTGGCCCTGGACGCAAAAGTCGTCCACACGTTTGCGCTTCGTCACAGTCTCCTTGCTGCTGCCTGGCTCTGGGCACACGTAAGCTGGATGTACTGGTTTGGAGGTGTTGGTCGCAATTCGATAGAATGGTGGTTGTGGTGAAGTCAAGTATGAAGAGTGCAGTGCGCGTGTGTGTGTATGTGTGTGTAAGAGTGTGGAAGAGAGTGTGTGTGTTTTTGTTTTTCTCGTTGGTGCCAGTACATGCTGGTGCCTGACTTGCTCACTGCACTGTCACCGTCAGTCATCAAATCGCCTTGTACGCTCACTTCTGTTGCTTGCATGCATCTTCGCAGGACTACATGAAGTCCATCTACACGATGCGCAACCACTTTATCAAGGACATTCAAGTCCGCATGGCTGCCGTGAAGGCCGCATTCGAGGTGACGCCCCGGTTCATGATGATGGTGATGGTGGTGGTGATGGTGGTGGTTGGTGGTGGTGGTGGTGGGTGTTGCTGGGGTGCTGAATGTTTTGTTGTGTAGACTCTTGTTTCCTGCCTACTGCCTGTGTGTGTGTTGTTGTTGTTGTTGTTGTTGTGTTGCCTTTTTTGCTGACAAGTCGCCAACGTGCTTGTGCTTGCATGCAAGCAGAAGAATGGGGAAGACACTGCCCTTCAGGCGTACATTGACCACTTGAAGGCACAGGGCACGCAGAACGACCAATTCTTTGAGGTGTACACATGATATTGTTCACGTGTTTCTGAACGTGTATGTCTGCTGTGCATGCATTTGTGTGAATGGGCGCGAGCAAGTGTTTGAAGTGCGATTATGTCATTGTTTGGCATTCCCCCTCTCACACAAACCAACCAACCATCCATCCATGGGCCATCATCGACCACTCGCGTGCAGGAGAAGACGGGTGCGCTGCCCACGAGCCACGACCTGTACCGGTGGCGCCGCAGCATGGTGGAATCGTTTCTGCGTCTCGTCGACACGGGATACATTGCCATCCACGACTCACAGCTGCACCCTGTTGACATCTCTGTTGTCGGTCAGCCGGCACCACATCCGCGCGGCAACACGAAACCATGGTCAGTCCCATCGCAGAACCCACCTCGCTTTCATCCGCTGTTGTACCGTGGCGTTGCGACTGTTGGTTGTATCAGTCACATTTGTCCCTCTGTGCAAGTGCTCCGATCAGCTCAAGCCTAATTCGCCACCACTCGGTGTTCCCCTTACCACCATCACCATCATCATCATCACCATCATCATCATCACCATCATCATCATCACCATCATCATCATCACCATCATCATCATCATCATCATCATCATCATCATCATCATCATCATCATCATCATCATCATCATCATCATCATCATCATCATCATCATCATCATCATCATCATCATCATCATCATCATCATCATCATCATCATCATCATCACCACCATCACCATCACCACCACCATCATCATCATCATCGCCAGGGAGGCTGCTGCTCAGCGTGACGTTCGCTCGTTCTTCGATGCCGCCAAATTCAAAAGCTACGGCGTCGTCGCTTGCAGGGTGCACCACGTTCTACAGGTGCGACGGGCTGTGTGTGTGTGTGTGTATGTATGTGTGTGTGTGTACATGTGTGCGTGTGCGTGTGTGCGCCCGTGTGTGTCAACTTTTTCGCGTCTCAACGAGCTTTTCTGCATTCCCCACATGCGTGCTTGCAGGTTGAGAACACGCACCTGATGGATGAGCACAAGAATGCAATCAAAAAGTGGGTCACTTTCCTTTCCTCATCTTGCCTCTTTTCGCTTCGTGGCTCCACGTTGTGATGGTGTAGGCGACAATTATGTACCTTACACACCCGCGCAGCGAAACATCCGATCTAAGCTCAAACCAGTCTCACCATCCTCACCTGGCCCTGTCTCACCTGTCTCACCACCACCACCACCACCACACATGTCATCTCATGTTCAGGTTCATGATGCGAGCACAGGAAGAGGAGCAGTTTGGGTCTGTTTACTACAACGACAACGACAACGCCAACGCCACGACGACGACGGCAGCCAACTTGCCGAGCCACGCTCGCCGTGGGCGCATTTCGTTTGGCGACGTCACGACGAAACAGGGACGCAACGGCAAGACAACAACAACAGTTGGCACGCTGTCGGCCGTGAGCCCGAGCCTTGCACGCGAACTGCTTGAGAGTGACGCTGCGTACGAATATCTGTTGCTGGATGTCGGTGGTGCTGATGCGGTGGAGGTCGACGCAGCCATCACACACATGTGCAGCAACCCATCAGGTGCGTGTACATATGTGTACATATGTGTACATATGTGTGTGTGTTGTACACGCGTGTATGTGTATGTGTATGTGTACGTGTATGTGTGCGCATGTGCGTGTGTTTGTTTGGTGGTTTGGAATGAGGAAAAGGCGCGTAAGCCGAGTGTATTTCTCCTGGGTTTCAACCAAACCCACGCAAACAAATGTATGCGTACGCGTATGCGCATGTGCACATACGGACACACAGACTGACACACATACGGACACACATACTGGCACAAATACTGACACATAACACCCCTCCCACCTCCCAACATCATCTCCCCCCCCCCAAACCCCAAACACACTAGGCGGGACTGTGCCGTATTGCCTGACGAACCGGCTGCACACGATGAAGCATGTGACACAGCACCTGTCAGCGGACCACAGCTGGCCACCGTCACACTTCACCCGCGTCCTCGTGGTGCGCGCATATGTGCCCGGGGTGATGTGGGCAAACGCGCGCGAAGGAACAATGACATGCAAGCAAGCGCTGGAGACAGCTCGGCGGAGAAGACCAAAGTTGGAACCTGAACAGCAACAGCAACAGCAGCAGTGGGACAGGAAGTCGAGTGGATTGACATCGGGGAGAGGTAAGACATCGCTGGCGTCATCTGTTGCAACATTGCAATCCCGCGCCCCAACTCGCGCTGCCACATCATCATCATCATCATCGGTGACCAGCGGCAGGCGACGGGTTGGTGGGTATGGGCCGCGCTCCAAGCGGCCACCACGGCGGCCACGGCGCGTGACAGAGTGCACAGGTGAGGACGAGGCAGATGCTGCCGACGCAGATGGTGATGATGATGATGATGATGATGATGATGATGATGGTGATGATGATGATGATGAGGATGATGATGAGAACGGTGGTGATGGAGATAAGCAAACAACAGCAGGTGCTGATGTGAGCCAAGGTGACTGTAGCGGTGGTGGTGGCGGCGATGGTGATGGCTCCAAGGCAAGTGAGCAGGGTGGGCGTGGCTCGTCGTCATCGAACAAAGGTGACAAGAGCGGGCGAAGCTGCGCCGATGCTGCTGATGCGCGCACATCTGTGGACAGCATCGGCCCCATGAATGACGATGAAGATGAAGAAGGGGCGGAGGTGCACTACATTGTGCCAAAGGGCGCAGACATGTGGTTTGTGCCCATGTATGTCATGGATGTTGAGCTGTGCAAGAACTCCCTCAAACTCAAGCCCCCATCCACATCAGCCCCATCGACCTCGTCGTCATCATCATCGTCGGAGAATGCGCAGAGCGGCACCAGCAAGCCTGCGATGCACGTGCCTGATGCGGTGCACAGCGAGTGGTCACGTCGGAAGAAGTTGGCTGGTGCCATCGCAGGAGCCCTCAGCTCATCCATCCTCCCGACGTTGGACGCCGACACGGTACTGTTGATGCGAATGATTCGCTCGTGGTCGTGTATTTTGGGACACCGGTCACGTGCGGGAAGTGTTTTGGTTTCGTTCGCCGAGTATACACGCACGTTAAATACTTGTGTGTGTGTGTGTGTGTGTGTGTGTGTGTGTGTGTTTAACTCGGTGTATGCACTGTGTAATGCACATGCGTATTCGAGTGTGCCACGTGTGCCGTGTGTGCCGCGTTGTTGGCCGTTTGCGCTGTTGTGTGGCATCCATGACCTTCCCTCGCCCATTCTTCATCACTAATCCAACTCATCACCATTGCTTCCCCTTCCCTCCCAACACGACACATCAGCGGGTGTTTGGTGGCATTGACTTTGCGAGCGTGACGCGCGTGTGTCTGAGCGGCCTTGCGTTGCAATCTGTCACGGAACTCAAGGCACTGCCCAACTTGAAGCACTTGAATGTACGTCATGAAGGCATGGGGATCAACAACTCAGCCCACCGCGTGCTCTGCAGCCTGTAACCCCTCATCGCCCTCTCGATTTCATCCTGATCGCACGTGCACATACAAGTTTTAACATTGCATTTTTCCTTCCAACTCACAAACGAGCATTGCACACACACACACACACACATTCACTCGACTGCTTGTTCTTGTTCTGTGCCGTGTCAGGTTGGCTACAACTACTTGACGTCGCTGGCGTGGATCGATTCGCTGCCCACACTCGGTGAGAACGGTGGTGTGATGTGGGGTGTGAGCTTGCGCCGTGATTCAAGATAAGTGGGAGCACATGCACATGCAGGTACACGCACATGCACACAGCACACATACATATGCACACACACACGTACGCACACAACACTCAACTTGCGCACACTCTCACTTGCTCACATCACCACCATCATCAATCTCCCCTCCCCTCAATCAATCGCCATCACCATCACCATTGTCAGAATCACTGGATGTGCATCACAACCGGATTTCGTCCACGGACATGACGGCGGCGCCTCGTCTGCGCTTCCTCGATCTCGGAGCGAACAGCATCACCCGCGCACTCGCCCTCACCACGCTGCCAGCAGCCTGCCCTGCCCTCCAGTGCATGTTTCTCAACGACAACCCCTTACTCGAGGTAACAACAGCACACTCGGGCACATGGTTGCGTACGCACATGTGGACATCGCACGCATGCGCAATCTCACACGCACACACACACGCACACACACACACACACACCTGCACACACACACACACGCACGCACTGGCTCACGCACTGGCTCACGTATGCTCACTGTTGATCTTGCTCATACTTGGGTGCAGTCCGATGCCGTTGGTGTTTTGCACAAGTTGGCGTCGAAGTTTGCTGACATGCGGCTCATCACACTCGAGGTACACGGAGATATATGAATGAATGCACACACACACGCACGCACGCACACACACGCACGCACGCACGCACGCACACACGCACAAACACACACACACACACACACGCACGCACGCACGCACACACGCACAAACACACACACACACACGCACACGCACACGCACGCACGCACGCACACACGCACACACACACACACACGGCCTTGTGTTGTTGGTTTTCGTCATTTCTCTCTCAGTTCCCTGCTGTAATTGCACGTCACACAGACTCACACCAAACACCATCACCACTTCACCACCAATCAACTCACCCCATCCCCCCCCGCCTTCCCAAACGCACACACCAGTGGTCTGTTGTGTACCGCTCGTCGGCACTGCACGAGACGCCGCTGCCGCCGACTTTGAACGTGCGCGTGTCCCCCTTCTTCCAGGGCGAGCGCAGACACATGTGCGCTGTGTGGACAGCACCGTCAACAGCAGCCAACGCCACCTCGCTGCTCTCAACAGCGGCTGCAACCACCGGTGACACCACCACGGCACCCCAGCCCCCACCGTGCATCCACGGCACGACGAGCGTGTCGTACAGCGGTGCGCAGCCCTGGGAGGCGTATCGCACGTGCCAGGAGCTCCTCCTGTGCGCAGAGAGCAATGACGCGGGCGTCTTGCATCATGTAGCGCCACAGGGGGTCACGGCTCTCCGACGCGCGTCGTGCATGAACGATGCCGGGTTTTCCAACCTCGGAGCCTATGCCCACAGCGTGGCGGTGCCCGAAGTTGTCAAGGGCGTGCTGGTGCGCACGGCAGCAACGAGCACACAGCACGTGGTGCAGGATGGTGTGGCTGACTTTGCACGGGAAAGGGGGTTCGCACAAGTGGAATGGATTGCACTGCACACGTGCCGCGTGTCCACCTTCAAGCTGCCCCGCTCCTGGCACGACACGCTCACCTCCCTCTCGCTCGTGGACAACGCACTGTCCTCGCTCAAGTTTGTCCGCTCGCTACCGTCCCTGCGGTTCCTCGACGTGGGGCACAACGAGATTCAGGCGCTGGATGACGTGGCGACCCTGCCACACCTCTCCACGCTGATGCTCTCCTTCAACTTTGTGCACGACCTTCGCCCGCTGCGAGACATGCTGTCGCTCACCACTCTCTACATCGACCACAACTGCATTTCGAACCCGCGCGAAATCTTCCACCTGCGTGAGCTGGAAGCGCTGCGCGTGCTCAATGTGGCTGCCAACGCGTTTTGTCGCAAGCGGAAGGTTGTTCCGTTTGTCCTGTACTACCTGTCTGGGCGCCTGACGATGCTCAACGACCGCCTCGTGACAAAGAGCGACCTTGACCTGGCCAGGCGCCTGTTTGACGGCGTGCTGACTATTGACATGATCGCCGACAACGTCGGGGAGGACCAGTGCGAGTTTGTGCGCACGCTGGATCTGCCGCACTGCGCATTGCGTGAGGCGCGGCTCTCGGATGAAATGCGTTTTGAGCACCTGTACTCGCTCAACTTGGAGGACAACAACATGACGACGCTGGAGCCGCTGGCCGGACTCAAATTCCTGCGCGTCCTCTGTCTCAACAGCAACCGCATCCGCAAGTTTGCTGCCAACCACCGCCCGCGCTCCGCCGACCCGCACGCCACAACGCCGGCCATGGCATTGCCTGCAGGCAACAGCAGCACGCGAAGTGGGCGTGGGAGCGGCGGCAGCGGCAGCAGCAGCGGTGGGAATGGATCACGAAAGGAGCGAACGAGTGCGTTGCGAGGGCAGCTGCTGAGCCGAAGCACCAGCAGCATTCCAAACAGCACCAGCAGCGGCAGCAGTGCGTCCACAACAGCGGCAGCAGGTGGGGGCAGGCGGACCGGTTCTCCATCAACAGCGCGGCGCTTGGCACTAGCATCATCGCGTGATGACGTCACTGGCCCCGCCGCCAAGTACTCCTCCAATGGAGCGAGTAGTAGCGGGGGTGGTGGCGGTGTGCTGACGCGTGGACGGGGTGTGTCGAGCACGGATGGTGCGCGGTGTTCGTCGCCGCTTGGCCGGAGCGCGGGCGCATCGCGTGGTGTGCGGACGCCACCGCCTGCAAGGAGGACGCAGAGCCCACTTCCGAATCGGGCAAGGGGCGGGGCTCTGAGGCACCGCGGCAACAGTGTTGCCGGGGCAGCCTCCTCCTCCTCCTCATCATCAACAGCAGCAGCAAGTGCGGCGGCGTCGTCGGCCACGTCGCTTCGGCGTGGCATGTGGGTCAACTCCCAGCGCCCTGCTGGCTCGCACACGCTTGAGCGCTCGTCCCGATCGACGTCTGTGGTTGAGGACGCAGCAAGCGCGGACCCCGTGTTCCCCTCACTTGAGGTGCTCATGCTGGCCAACAACGGCATCCACAAGCTTGAGCCGCTGCAGCTGCACCGCATGCCGAAACTGCACACGCTCTTCCTGCAGAGCAACGACATCTCCAGCACCGTTGGCATTTCAAATTTGGCGGCACTCAACGCCCTCATTCTGGACCACAACCGCATCAAGACCATCGCGAAGGACACGCTCAGCACATGCCCAAAGGTTCGTTCGTCACCGTGGCTGCCGCTGGTGGTGGTGGTGCTGGGGGTGGTGCTATTGTTGTTTAATTTGGTGTTTCCGTTACTGTCGTTGCTACTCGTTTGCGTTCTCACCATCTATCCTTTGGCATGCGCCTGCACGGCCTCATTCTCTCATCATCCGCTCTGTTGTCTGCAGCTGCGTGATTTGCATATGAACGCCAACCGACTGCTTGAAGTGGATAACTTGTCCGGAAATCCGCACCTCCAGCGCGTCTATCTCCAATCCAACCGCTTCTCTGCTCTTGAAGACCTATCTGGCCTTCGACAGAGCAAGGTCTTACACATATGCTTGAGGGGAGAGAGGGGGGGCTTGGCGTTATGTCGTGTGAAGATGTGGTGGTGTTTTTGAAGGTGTATCTTTGTGCAATCACTGTTGTTCTGAGCTGTTGGCATCCCATGCGCCCCACCACACCCTCACCTCACCTTACGACGACCACCGCCACCATTACCGCCAGCAGCGGTTGAAGGAGCTGGTTGTTGCTGAGAATCCGTTTGCGCGCCGGCGGGACTCGCGACTTGAAATCATCCACTACCTCCCACAGGTTCGTGTGTGTGTGTGTGTCTGTGTGTGTGTGTGTCTGTGTGTGTGTGTGTGTGTGTGTGTGTGTGTGTGTGTGTGTGTGTGTGTGTGTGTGTGTGTGTGAATGTGTGAGTGACAAACACGCACACCCACTCGCTCAGTCGCTCACACACACTACACACACGCACACACAAACACACACACACACACTCACACACTCGCTCATCCAATCACGTTCGTTCACACACCACAACAGAGCATGGTTCAATTCATCTGTCCTGCGATTGCACACTGGAAAGCAAAAGAAAGCAGTCGTGCAGGCCTCCTCAAAGCCAAAGTAATAAAACCACACGCAAACACACTTACTCACTCACTCACTTACTCACTCACTCACTCACTCACTCACTCACTCACTCACTCACTCACTCACTCACTCACTCATACATACATACATACACACAAACACACAAACACACACGCACCCACTCTCTCACTCACTCGCTCACCCACCCACCCACCCACCCACTCACTCACTCACTCACTCACTCACTCACTCATACATACACACACACACACGCACACACACGCACACACACACACACACACACGGGAGCTAGCAGATGGCGCAAAACGCGGGGCAGCGGTTCAACACCGTGCCTGTATCAACGCAGATGCAGGCTGTGGTCAGGGAGCACGTCACGCCAGCGCCTGGCTGAAACGGATTACCCTGCGCGTACACTTCCAGAGTGGACTCACCATCCACGCCAATCATGCTCAGCGTTGACAGGGCGTTGTTCTCAAGCCGCAGGGTGCCCGTGATGCGCGGAGGGAAGGCGCCAAAGACAACAGACGTGAGCTGGTTGTCCTGCAGGTAGACGTCGACAACGCGGTTGAGGCTGGAGAGGGAGAAGCGAGACAGCAGGTTGTTGTTGGCTTGGATCGCTTTAAGGCTCGTCAGGGCACCCAGGCTGATGCTGGTGATGCTATTGTAATGCACACTGAGCGCATCCCCAATCTCTCGTAGCCCCTTGAGGTCGAGCGCGGCAATGTTGTTGTTAGAGAGGTCGACGCTGCCGCCAACGAATGTCAGGCGGTCGAACACAACACTGGTGATGACGTTGAATGCGGCCTCAATGCTGCCGCCCACACGCTCCAGCAAAGGCAGCGCCAGACGCGTGAGGGCATTGTTGGCCAACACAACAACACCACCCACCATCGTCACCTGATCAAACGCAACCTGCTGCAGCTGCGCGCCCTTCAACAGGATGCTGCCAGCAACACGCCGCAAGGGGCCAAACTTGACCTGCACCAGCGACGTGTATGACATGTCCACGCTGCCAGCAACCGATGTCACCTGGCCAAAGTTGACAGAGCTCAGGGCAGCCCGCTCTTGGCTGCTGCCTTGGAGATGGAGGTTGTTGCCAATGGTGGCGAGGGACCCTAGGTCCACCGACGCCAATACAGGGTTGAAGCGCATGGTGACGCTGCCTCCCACCTGCTTCGTGCCGGCAAAGGCAACGTCCGCCAATGCAAAGTTGTCGCTGACGACCACATTGCCCATAATAAGCAAAGCCGTGATGTCGAGGCTGGGCAGGTTCGTCCCGCCCACCGTGAGCGTGCCCTCAATCTCCGACAGCGCGTGCCCAAGATGGAGGCCGTTGGAGACGCTGCTGAAGAAGATTGTCACGTCGCCGTTGACGTGCCTAAGCAGCGGTAGGGACAGGGTTTCCAGGTTGGGGTTGTCCTTGATCTCCATCGCCCCGCCAATGTGTGTCAGCTTCAGAGCCGCGATGGTGTGCAGGAGTGGGCTCTGGTTGATGAGCAGGCTGCCACCAACGCGCGTGGTGTTGCCAATGTCGATGCGCGTGCACAGTGGCTGGTACGTCACTTGCAGGCTCCCGCCTACCATGGTGATGCTGTTCAGGTCAAGCACGTCCAGCTGCATGTTCTGCGAAACGACAATGGCGCCAGCGACACCAAGGCCGATACCAGGTGTCGTCGTCACCGTCATCACCCCGGAGTTGCTGAGCACGACGCTGCCACCAATGCTGGTGATGGCGCCAAAGGTGACGGCCGCCAGCTGCATGGTGGAGCTCAGCACCAGGCTGCCACCAATCTCCGTGAGCGGGCCCAGATCAAGGTTGGTCAGTGGCGTGCCAGCCACGCTCAGGGTCCCGCCAATGTGCGTCAGGTTGTCGAAGGTCAGCGTGTGCATGGCGGAGCCGGACAACACCACGCTGCCTGCGACGTGGGTGATGGAACCAAACTGGACACTCTGCACTGTTGGTGATGCCCTCACGTCACCATTGACCCGGCGCAGCCCGAGAACCTCGTCACAGCAGCAGTCCACAATGCCAGTCACTTCGTCCAGCTTTGCTGCCACGACCGCTGCGCGCGAGCTTGCGTCTGAGCAGTTCAGCAGCAGTGCAGGTGGTGGTGTGCTCGTGGTTGTGGTGGTGGTGGTGGTGGTGGTGGTCGTGGTTGTGGTTGGGGTTGTGGTGGTGGTGGTGGTCGTGGTTGTGGTTGTGGTCGTGGTTGTGGTGGTCGTGGTGGTCGTGGTTGTGGTGGTGGTGGTGAACACTGCTCGTGACGCTGTGGTTGTGCTCGTTCCCACCTCTCCGCCACTGCCGGCACCGCTGCTACCGCCATTGTTGTTGTTTGAGGAGCTTGAAGCGCCTTGGTTCCCTGCGGGCGATGTCAGCACAAGAGGCACCGCCACCGCGGCGGCGAGCAGGAGCAGCAAGGCAATTGCCGCGAGCACGAGCTTGGTGCAACGTGATGAGCAGCAATCGGTTGATCTCGAGACCTTAACCGCCGTGTAGCTCTGCTGCGTGTCTGCAAACGGTGAAACAGGTGGCACAGCGTACACGCCAGGCCGTTGCACCATGCCACTGCTGCTGCTGCTGCTGGGTGTCGTGGACGTAGTAGGCTGCGTGCTCTCGTACAATGGATTGGTGACATGGTGCGTGTCATCGTACCCTGGTGCATGGTATCTGGGCGGGCCGGCGGTGTAGAGTGGGTTGGCATAGTGGAAGTTGATGGCTGCCCGCTGCTGCTGGTGGGTCGCGCTTGCACTGCTTGTGTCGACTTGCGACGACCCTCCGAGCAGCGTGCCGCCATCAAGCGTCACGTATTGGTCGTCGCCACCCTGTTGTTTGCTCCAGCTCACCATCTTGCGTGCGTTTGTCGCGCGTGCGATGTGTATCAATCATGTGCGATTATGACACGGCCACATGCAACAAGACAGCATTTTCGGCGGGGGGGGGGGCTGTTGTGTGGAGCCATGGTGCTTGTTGGTATGATGGTTGTTGATACGACGGTGCCGGACAACACAAAGGTGAGGGTACAAGTTCACTCACGCACACGTAAATGCAGATGCACATGCAGATGATGCACACACAGACGTCCACACGCAGACGCACGAACAAGCACACAGACAGACACATACACGCCGACACGATTCAGGGTGGGTTTGGTGGCTTCTTGATGAACTTTGCGATGAAGAAGCCTATGGTGTCACACGTGCTTGATGGTGTGAACCGCTGCACGCGCTGCCTCGCTTCCTCAGACAGGCCCTCATATTGCACCCCGGCCTCTCCGATGTACGGCACCTGCATCACACACGAACACGGGGTGTGTGTGTGTGTGTGTGTGTGTGTGTGTGTGTGTGTGTGTGTGTGTGTGTGTGTACGTGTGTATGTGTGTGTGTGTGTGTGTGTGTGTGTGTGTGTGTGTGTGTG